TTAGTGCTACTGCACTTCAATTAACTCAAGAATTCAGTGGTATTCAGAAGCAGTCTGGCCAGAGTGTTATGGACTATTTGCAGTATGTCAAGGGGTTATCTGATCGGCTTTTCGGAATTGGTCATCCAGTCTCTGATAAAGATTTAGTGCTTCAAACTATTGCTAGTCTTGATCATTCCTTTTTAGTGGCAAAGCACACTATTCCTCAACGTGTTCCCTTCCCTACTTTCTTGGAATTGCGATCGCTACTGTTGATTAAGGAAGCTAATATTTTGCAGGAATCCTCAACTAGCTCATTGATGAATGGCTCTTCTAGTTCCAGTCAATTGTTGCAACTTACTCACCCTTCTGATCTTCAGATTCATTATGCTGCTCCTTTGCAACGAGGTCGTGGTTTTGGCCGGAATAATTCTTTTAGGGGAGGCCAGACTAATCAAGGTCGGGGATCTCGCGAAAGTGGTTGTACTGTCTGAAATCATCGCTCAAATTTTTCTGGCCATTCTTATTCTGGTCGCGGCTTCTGCAATGTTGCTCATGGTGCCTCTTATTTTTCGACTGGCTATTCTGGGACTCATGGTGCTGGTTTTAATGGGTCTTTGTTTGCAAAGTCTGATGGCCAAGTGGCTGGGTTTCATTCTGCCAATAGTTCTACTCATGCCTTACCCTCATTATTGCCCACTTCGCCAACCCCTATTGCTTGTCAATGGTGTAATCGACTGGGTCATCAAGCACGTGATTGCTCTTTCTTAACTGCCAGACCTGCCTCTGCTTCCTCTGCACCCCAGTCACTATATGCAAATTTAGTTCCTACTCCTATGGATCCCAATTGGTACTTTGACAGTGGAGCTCAAACCCATGCTACCAACAATCCTAGTAAATTACTTCACTCCACTCCTTCCTCTTCCTCCAATTTTATTCAAGTCGGTAATGGTCAGTTATTGCCTGTTACTTCTCATGGTAATGCTTTTCTCTCTACCTCCAACTCTCAATTTCGTCTTAATAATGTTTTGGTTGCTCCACATCTTACCAAAAATCTTGTTTCTATTCGTCAGTTTACTCGTGATAATAATTGTAGTGTTAACTTTGATTCATTTGGTTTTTCTATTAAGGACAACAAGACGAAGAACGTCCTCCTTCGTTGCAATAGTCCGGATGGCTTGTATTCATTTTCTAGTGGTTCCTTCCCCAGTTATCATGTTGTCTATTCTATTTCGCATTCTCCTGATGTGTGGCATTGTCGTCTTGGTCATCCGGGCATCACTTCTATTCAACACCTTGCTAGACGTGGTCTTCTTCCAATTGAAAGCGTTACTTTGCCATCATGTTTATGTCATGCATGTCAGCTTGGGAAACATGTTCGTCTTCCCTTTTCTGAGTCTTGTTCTTTTGCTACTAAACCATTTGAGTTTATTCATTCCGATGTTTGGACATCACCTACACTGTCTTTTTCTGGGATTAAATATTATTTGTTATTTTTGGATGAATATAGTCATTATTTATGGGTTTATCCTTTGTCATCTAAGGCTCAAGTGTTTGATTCTTTTCTTAAATTTTCTACTTTTGTATCTACTCAATTTGGTGCTAAGATCAAAGCTTTGCAATGTGATAATGGTCGTGAATTTGATAACTCTCAATTTGCATCCTACTTTCATACTCATGGAATTCATCTCCGTTCTTCGTGTCCCTCAACTCCCCAACAAAATGGGAAAGCTGAGCGCATGAATAGAACAATCATGAACATGGTTCGTTCTTTACTTTTTCAAGCAAACTTGCTTGGTAAATTTTGGGTGGAAGCTATTTATGTAGTTGTTCATCTTCTAAATATATTACCTACTTCCAGGCTACATTTTCTTACTCCTCATGAGGTGTTTTTCGGTTCCCCACTGAAATATGATCACTTGAGAACATTTGGTTGTGCTTGCTATCCTAATATGTCTGCCATTGCCCCACATAAATTAGCTCCTCGCTCTACCTTATGTATTTTTCTAGGCTACCCGGCTCATCATAAGGGTTATCGCTGTCTTGATTTGGCAACCAATAA